ACCTTCTGTCAATCATAAGCGGTGTTGCCCGCGATCCTAAAGACAAGCTCTTGTCAAACAGTGATTGTTTTTGAAACACCGCTGAAAAAACATTAATTAAACCAAATGGACGATTTAGTGGAAACGTGGCCTGCCGCAATTCCCTCTAACGATCGCAGTGCGCTGCCTTATCTTGTTAAACTTTCCATATATCGCAGGTGGCTGAATGCGAAATAGCGCAGAAACACGCCGCAAGCCCATAAAAGTGGTTGGATTTTCTTTTAAATACGTTTCATTAAAATCATTGCGTTCGCTTGAACGACGACACTTCAATTTGGCGGACCGAAAGGCCATCGAATCCGCATTTCTTATTGCGGGCTGAGCGGAAGCAAGTTTGACGAACGTCAGATGCCGAAGGGGATCAAACAATGATATATGCATTGTTCCCTTCAACAGGTAAAGCTACATGTAATCTCCAGAGGGGTCATAATATGAATAGAAGTCTCCCTCGAGATACCTAAATTATGATACTCGGGGCCGCAACGCGAAGCTGAAGCTCGTAAACCTGCTCCGATGTGTCGCCTTCTCAATTTATCGCCACTGTGATGTTTCTCCATAGTTATACAGCGATTGTTAACTGTTTATTGAGTTTCAGCTCGGGACTTTTCGGAGGGAAGATCCCCTAGACGCTCAGCAACTGGCGAAAGAAATGCGTTTAATTTCTTAGGCAAAGATTGTCTCTGTTGCGTCTAACTTGCAATCGCCAACTGGAAGGTTCCGCACGAGGAAACAGCATGTTTGCAATGCCATCGGCGTCTTCAGCCACTTGGGAATCTATCGGGTTCAGGCTTTCGTCCTTTCCCGCACGATTCGCGCTTCTAATTTTGTTTTGGTGCGTGTTTTATGCAGGATTTTCATCCAATCGGAGTGGAGCTGACAGCAAACCAGCTCAGTGTCGGAGTTGTTGAGTGTCTTCGCTTCATCCAAAGTTCTCACACCAAAATTTGCGATTTCTATGCAAAAACTGTCTAGAGTATCGGAATTGAGTCCGAAGATGTTAGGTTGGCCGTGTAGTGAAACACCAGGATAAAGCAAGAAAGATGCTTAAAGTTGCTCTATTTTATGCTGAAATTTACACGTAAAGAAGGCTGCAGATTTGGTTTTTGGAAAAATGGCCCCCTGAACCATGTAATGCAAAAACATTGCAAGCAGTTCGGACGAAGGCGCATCCAAAAAACACTGGCCCACAGACTATACACTATTATAACCAGAGACGGCCCACAGACTACACACTATTATAAACGGAGTTCGGAAAATGCGTTAGAAAATTCTTCAGGGTGCTTCTAGATGCTAAAATAATGGTAGTACGTGATGCAACAAAAATTGAAAATCTTACTATTTTCCGAGTTACAGCGCATTAAACATTTTTTTTCTTTTTTTGGATCTGTTGTGAATATTTCTTCGGAGATCAAATTGAAAATCCGTACACGGTTTTATCATAGTGATCTATAACTTTTTGATCAAAAATTGTTTTCCAGTTTGCCACTAGATGGCACTTTACCTGAAATGCAAATTTTATTTTCGGCATATTTTTTTTGGCACGCCAAATATCGCAAACGGTAATATGCGATTTTAAAGGTTAAAAATTGCGAGACAAAAAATGTGGTCTGCACACGAGTCGTAAAACCTATTCATTTAGGAGCAAATCGACATCAAAGTTTTTATTCCCTTTCAACCCAGTGTCCTTGAATTTAATTGCAATCGCAACAAGTCAAGTCGTCCAAATATGCCAAATTTGACAGTTTATAGCAATTATTGTATTACTGTTCATTTTAGGCAATTTTTTTTGTGCTGCGTTTGAATGCAACACTTGAATATTCTCCATTTATTTTAATTGAGTGGTTTTAGAGCACAAAAATTTAGTCCCAACTGAACAGCAATATAATGATTACTGTAAATTGTCAAATTTGACACATTTCAAAACCAGACGACTGGATTCGCGGCGATCCCAATTAAGTGCCATCTAGTGGCTAAGTAGAAACACAATTTTTGATCACAAAGTTAGAGATCACTATGATGAAACTATGTTCAATTTGATCCGCCATAAAGTGTTCAGAATAGGTCAAAAAAAAGGATGAAACATAGTATAATACATAATGAGCTGTAACTCGAAAAATATTCAGATTTCAAATTTTTGTTTGACGACTGTCTATCATTATTTTAGCATGAATAATCACCCTGCAAAATGTCCTAACGCATTTTCCGATCACCCAGTACAGGGTGATTGAAAATTTGCGTTTTCTATGCAAAAACTGTCTAGAATATCGGAATTGAGTCCGAAGATGTTGGGTTGGCCGGGTTCAGGCCAAATTCGCCCTGTAACTAAAGTGAAGCTTCTTGTAAAGGCTGCTAAGAGCCAAAACCTCAAATCTCATCAAAAATTGTAAAAGTTGTTGTCTAAAGTTCAACACCAAATTCCTAAAAAGCTGTTATTTGACTTTTTTCAAACGTACACAATAATTAGGGGAAAAGCTTCCTCTACTGGTTCTCGCAAAACCCTCTTGAAAAATTCCCCGCAAGAACAGCACAAAGTAAAGAAACAGTATAAAGAAGGTTTCCAAGGGATTCTGTTAAAATTTACATAATTATTAACATAAATATAAAAAATACATAAAAAAATCTCTTCTTGCTATTTTTTGGTTTGGTTATAAATGCTATCAATGGGTTGAATATAAATTTTGCGTGCCCGCAGCAGAAAAGTAAGGGCATGTAAAAGTAAATCTTCTTACTACCAAAACCTGAGACCCTTATGAAATACTGAAAATATGGTGATTTTGATTAACAAATTGACAAAATTTATCGAAAATAAATTGTGCGTGCCCGCAGCAGAAAGGTAAGGGCGCGTACAAGTACAAGAGTTTATATGAACTTTTCTTTTTAAATGCGTCAACGTTATAACTTTATTGGGCAATATTAATAAAATTTCTATATTACTCAAATAAATTTATCCGGAGCTAACAGTTCCCACCCTATGAAATTCAATCAATTAAAATGCATTTAACAAATTCAAATTACCCGCTTAGTGTGTACACGGAGTGACAATGAGAGCGGACCAATGAGAATCATCTTTCACGCAGTGCTGCTTGGCGGTAATGCCAAAGCTCTCAGATTTTCTGAAAAGCTGCAAAGCTTATAATTTATTGGTTATTGGCATAAACAAATTATTATGTGCTATTACACAAATCTTGATTTTTTAACTTACCTATATGATTGTAGATTTATTAGTTACTAGAATACTGTCTTTCTAAGCAAGACAAAATTTAGATTTTGTCAATATCGGTTTATCAGTGATGTGATATCCGAGGTGTGACAATTCAGCACTTTTCCATGATTGACATTGGAGCAGGAGAGAACTGTTGCTTGTCTTTATCTATGTTTACCTCTGGTTACGTGCATCACGTGTTTTTCGAAAACTTGAAAATATTAAAATCCATATTAATCGATGCGAAAAATAAATATGAAAACCGTGCTTGTGCCTCAGTGTTATGATATGTCTTCAAGACGGAAATTACTGTATAATTATGGCGTAAACCCCCGCAAACATGGAAAGGTATGTTGGTGTTTAAATTAAATACATTTGATTATTTGATTATTTCTTGTTCTAAACATACAGGTGATATCGCTGTTCTGGACTTGAAGCATTGAAGACGCTAGGGATCACGTGAGAAAACCACACAAGAAAAATGTTCGCATAAGATACGGCAAAAATGTAAAGGTATGTTGATGTTTAAATTAAATACATTTGATTATTTGATTATTTCGTGTTCTATACATACAGGTGATGTCGCTGTTGTGGACTTGAAGCATTGAAGATGCTAGGGATCACCAGATCTCCAGATCCAGTGAGAAAACCACACACGAAAAATTTTCGCATAAGAGAGAAGTAAGGTTGTCTGAACCTAATTATTCGTCTATTAATGTAAAAGTATTATCTGTATTTTTTTATTTTTACCAGTTTAGTTTTGGTTGCTTTCTATTTTGCGATAAGCATGTTTTCCTGGATCGAATGAAAGCAATAAAAGTAAAATGAAAGTAATGTATCAACACAAATTGCTATACCTAACTGTATTTCTACACAATAGAATAATCTGTGGATGAACGGAAATACTCTTCTATCAATGTAAAACTATTAACTGTATTTTGTTGTTGCGACCAATATTCAAATTTGTAATTGCTTATAGAATTTTTGTTAAGAGCACATTGCGAAAAACTTTAATTGATCGAGAACAAAATGAAAGGGCAAAAGCCACAGAGCGGGAACATGTAAGGAATATAAAATAATAAGTGCAGTTTTTTAGATAAAGG